TTAACTAAATTTTATTAACTAAATTTAACTAAGAACTCACGAAATTTTATTTTTAATCAAATTTGTAATATAATTTATGTTTATTTTATAGATATAATTTTCTAATAAGTGACAAAAATTTATTTTTGTGTTTAGATATAATTCTTTTTTTTTTTAATTTTAGTATTATTCTGACCGCGATCATAAAAACAGAATTCTAATGTGGCCATTCTATTAATCGAAAAATGACCGTTATTGCAAAAATATATTTCTAACTCGCTCATCCTATTAATTCAAAAAGGATCGTGGTTATAAAACCGTAATTCTAACCCGTCTATTTATATTAATATATAATATAAATATATACTAATTTTGAAATAATTTTAATTTTAATATCTTGCATGTTTTGATAACTTAATCCGCATAAAAATACAATTATAAAAAACCTAATCTGCCAATCAAATTATCATATAATATTAATATTTATCAGTTTTCAATATGTAAAATTTTAATCTGATTAAATATGATTATAATAATATAATAACGTATCCATTAATCATATGTATATTTCTAAAAATATTATTTAAATTTTAAATATTAAATTAATTCTAACCTAGATTTAAGAAAGTCTAAAGTAATTTAATTAATATATAATTTTCAGAATTAATTTAGTTACAAAAAAAATATAGTTTGATTTAGTAATCTAAATTAATATCTCATTTTTGGAATTAAATTTATATATAAAATAAAATGTGCTATTTAAATAATATTGCAATAAACTCTAAAAAATTTTAAAAATGTTTCCAACAATTTTTAAAAAAAATTTAGATATATTTGAAAATAGATACTAAAAGTGCTTCTGTTTTAATAGAATAAATATTCAATATTCATGTTTTCTTTCTCCTTTACTCATAACTTTCAATTTAATATTTTACAAAAACAAATAAATCGTTGATCCATTTCAGGAGTATCATCATTAAATTTTGTCTCCTAGCTACGTGTGGATATGTTTTTAAATATTATTTTAATAAAAAATATATGTAATTTTATATCTACTAAGATATTAATTTATGAATATTATTAAATGTAGTAATATGTATAAAGAATTTTTCAGTTTTTAATCTTAAAACTTATATCTAATGTGTGAGGTTTCATAGTCTTATTTTGAATATATAATATGTTCTGTTTAGAAAACTTATAATTGGTATAATATTTATAAATAGTATACTAAAGCTAATTAAAAGTGTAACAAAGTAATCAAATGCTATTTAATAATCATAATATTAAAACAAAGATTAAAAATTATACATCAGTTCTCCAAATAAATATAAATCATTGTTTTTCATCATTTTGGTTTTAAATGATTAAACCTTTTATTAATTTAATGTACAATAACAAACAAGTGAAGGGTTAATTAATGTATAATTTAATTATATAACCTATTTCTCTAATGTCATAAAAGGTTTAATCATCAAACTTTTCATCATTTTATTTCTTGCCAAAATAAATAATAAGAAGTACCGGCTTCCATCAAATGACTCTGTTTGCATCGGTCTGCAAACATCAGTGTGAACTATCTGGAGTTTCTCCTTTGTCTTTGTTAGAGATTCCTTTGGAAATGCATCTTTTGCTTGCTTTCCATGCTTACATGCTCCACACACTTCTCGGTTCACTTGAAACCTTGGTAAACCATTTACCATCTTCTTTTGCATTTGTTGTATTCTTGATTTACACACGTGACCCAATCGTCTATGCCATAACTCCATTTTTTCTTATTCACGAGCAGTCATGGCATCTTGGTGAGGAGAATTCCATTTTATTGGAAAACTCTTATGAACCATCTTAATCTCCATAATCTTTTTCCCAACAGGATCAAAGATTATATACTGCTTGTCTTCAAATATGACGCGATATCCATGAGATATGATTTGTGGAAAACTTAGTAGATTTTTTTTCCAATCCTGGCACAATGAAAACATCTTTGATGACCCGTTTCCCTCTGTTGGTCATAACAGTGATGTCTCCTTTGCCGGCAGTCATTATGACTTCTCTGTTTTCAACTTTGATTGGAACGTTGATACTTCTATCCAATGTTGTGAAGTATTTCTCTTCCTTTGTCATGTGATTGGTGCAGCAGGTGTCTAGTAACCATCCTTCTTCTCGCGTGATTGTTGGTGTTTCTTCACTTGCACTAAAAAGCATGTGAACTTCATCTTCTTCTTCAAGACTCATATGTGCTCATTCATATTTATTTGAACGGCAATCCCTTGAGAAATGTCCTACCTTGCCGCAGTTGTAACATTTTCTTTTATTATTTGAAACTTTTTGTTGAACATCTTTGTTCTGTTTCTTCCAACAATCTGCTTCTGTGTGATTGTCTTTCTTGCAGGTACCACCCCACCTTTTTATTTTTACTTGACGTTCACCGAATTTGTTTTCCCTTTGGAAACCAGATTTTCCTCCTCTTGATTGAACATTGAATGCTCCTTCAGTCAAATTCTCATATCTTGAAGCAATACGACTTTCATGGGCTTGAAGAGTACCGATCAACTCCGACACGGCCAAAGTTTGTAAATCTTTTGTTTGCTCCATCACGGTAACACGAAGAGAGATGAGTATCTTTTGAACAATTTGATAATCTATTTTCTCTTCTCCATGGACTCTCAAATGATTTCTCAAATCAAGTAATTTCCCGTGAAAACCTTGACGTTATCACCATCATTCATCTTCAAATATTCATATTTTCTTCTCAGCGACTGGATTTTATCAATCAAACTTAAGGCATTCCTTGAAATTCGGTTTGCAGAGAATCCCAAGCCTCCTTTGAGGTTTGTTCTGGTGCTATGCGGGAGAAGATCTGATCCATCACGGCACTTTGCAGAAATTGCAGTGCCGTTAAATCCTTTAAAGATGCTTCATCACACTGAGTCTTTTGTTGCACGGCTTCGGGGCTATGATCTCCTTGTGCAGGTGGATTTGGAACTCCTCCTTCAACAATTTCCCACAGTTTCTTTGTCTGGAAAATTGTTTTCATCTTGATGCACCAGAATCCATAATTCTCACATTGAAGATCGGAGTCACAATATGTGACATCGTCTCCATAACTCTCTTTTTTATTTACTTGAACTTTGTACTTGAATTGGCCCCTTGAATCAGTAGGCTCTGATACCATGTTGGTGTTTTGTTAAAACAGACTTTGTTAAACAGAGTATGAAAACGAAGAAGAAAACAGAGCACTTATTATGGAAGAAACGGAGATAAACTGTGTTACACACTCTGTCACACTCTGGGACTAGACTCGATCAGTAGTTATACAAGACGAAACATTGTCTTTAAAAAGACATGACTGTGTAAATGAAACAACACACCTATAGGAATATAATTTGTGACTCTTAATAAAATAACTAACTTATATAAATGTAACTTTATCTTATACAAGATAGATATGATTATACTTCAACATTCCGGCCTACACTCCAATTTTGGTCTGTAGTTATCCTCTACAATTATTGACCAAATCTAAGACAGTAAGTTCAGTGTGGATTTTGCTGTTGTCAATTCTCTAACTTTTAGAGAAAGCCCATCTTTATTATAAACTTTTCTATTTGTTCACTCGAAACCCTAATGAATGGGATTTATCCAAGTCGTTCTCTTCGTCATTCAAAACACTTTATTAAAGCCTTGCGTATATAACATACATTAGTGAATAGAGGGAAGAAAGTAGTAGCGGCATTTTCAAGATCCTATTCCCGATTCATTTAGATTTTATTGTTTTCCATAAAAAAAATGATCAAGAGTTTGTGGAATTGTAGAAAGTAGAACGACTTGTGTTTCTGTTTACGTCTGAATCCGTATATCTGAAAAAATTCCTCCTTCGTTATATATTTTCTATGTTGAAATTAAACTGAAAATCACGCATAACTTCACTCGAGAAGCCCGTTTTAGAAAGCTAGGAGGTTTGTTTGATATCGATTTATTTAAGAAACTATTAAAGGGCTTCCTGAAAAGTGTTTGATGGTGGCAGCACAACGCAGCGTCTTCGTTAGCAACATCGTTTACCATATGCAAATACAGAAACAGAAATCTAAGGGATATATCGGATTGATGTTCAGAAGTCTTGGAGATAACGTCCGCACTGTCTGATTTGTAAAAGGGCATAGCACATTCTCTTACCACTTCACGTTAAATGTAAGATATATATATATACATATATATATATATATTGTTATGAACATCTCTTTACCTATTTACTGAATTATTCATTTCACTAACACGTTAACATTAATCTCTTCATTCATGGATAGTGATTTAGTTTCTGAAACACCTTATCCTAGATTCTAAGTAAAGAGGGAAATTAATAAAAGGACACCGATCAAGAAGATAGATATGAAATGTGAAACAAGAAGATATTTAATGTAAAAAATACCATTCGTGATATCAACACGACCATCATTAAAAACACAAAAGGCACAAAAAATGAATTATAGGACATGTCTACTAACTGAATTTAGTACCATATGAATCTCAGAGCCGTGCCTGAGAATTCTGAGGCCCCAAGCAAAAAAAAAATAATTTGGCCCCCTTAATTGTTTTTTAAAAAATGTTATAACAAAAAAAACTAGTTGAATATCAATGCATTTTATATAAAATATGACTATTCTTGCATTTTTAGTAACAAGGTGAATTCTTATTTATAGTGCAGTTACTTTTCTAAATTATTTAGTTTTGTCGATGTGGGACAACCATAAGACTGATTTTTTTAAAAAAGAAAGAAAGAAATGAGGCCTTGTGGATTCGAACCTGCGTATTAGAAGAAGAAAACACACAATCAATACCAGCTGCGCTAACTCAGTTTAAAAATTTTTGCCCCAAAATTTTATTTATTCTCTTTGGCCCTGAAGCACATGCTTCACTAGCCTATGCTCAGGCACGGTTCTACATATGATTGTAATTGGCTAATTTCATATCTGAACTTCAAAAAGATAAGGTTTTTTCTTGAATATACGAGTATTCATCTTCACCTAACAGTGACTTTTTCCAAATATCAATAAACCATCTTCATTGTCATCATCAGAATCACCATGGTCAGTAAGTGTGCAACCAGTAGGACAAGTCATTTGACCTTCTTTCCATTCAACTCCACATTTGTAGCAAAACTGATACCCATATCTACAAAAGCCACAATGAAATTAATACCAACAAAAAACCACCTCTTGAAATTAGCTTAATTATAGTTAACTATGGGGGAACTGAGAGTGAAATTGTCTCAAAATTTAAAGTGAGAGTGAAACTAACTCAAGGTTAAAAGTGCTAGAGATGTGATGGTTAAAAAAGGGATTTTCCGTTAAAAAAATATACATATATATGTACCTGCAATACTTGTGGTTGCTGACACATTGACGCCACTTTTGGTCTTTTGCAAGAAACTTTAGCATCAATTCATTAACTAGAGGCTCAGAATGAAGTTTCTTGTACTACACGCACGATAATCCAGAATGTGATGGTACTTTGCAACCGATGCAGAATAGTCCAGAACATTTGACACATGCCCGAAAATTATTGGATGGATCATCCCATACTGAAAGCTTGGTTTTGGACATCAACGTTGAACAGTTTTAGATTCTCTATGCGGCGGGAATCGAATCCTCTTTCATCTCGTGTTCCCAAAGCTCAATCAGCTTTGGCGTCAAAATATTGCTACAGTTTTCAAGAGTGAGCTCTAGCTTGCATCCATCATCAAGGCATGTGGGCACTTTACCGCCACACAGCTTCACTTCCACAAACTGGTTCACACAAGAAAAGCAGTGACGGTAAAGGCATTTATCATTTGAGAACATGCGATCGGCTTTGGTTTCCTCCAGACAAATGACACAGATTTCTCCTTTGGTTGCCTTGATCACATTGGCACTGCTGATTTGAGAAAAGATTGCATTTTTTGCAAGTTTATAAGCAAACTTCATATTGTTTCGGGTAACCAAAGTAGCTTGGCTAGAAGCAAAATTTTCTCTAAGCTAGGCGTCCGATTTTTTCCACAAGTACTTCGTCAACTCCTTTCTCCGTAAGGCTTCGTCTCCCTGTTATCTGCATTAAAAAATCAGATTCAAGAATCTCGTTAAAACAAGATATGAGAGCATCATTGATGCAGCGCATCTTATCATATCTATCTTAAACTACTATTTCCTTATTACTTTTCTTATGGGTTTTTGTGTGAGCCAAAACTCGCACAACCAAGAATTTGTGAAGAAAAACTAAGGGATCTGAAACTTCTAGGGTAATCGCAAGAGCAGTAAGATCAAAAGAGGATTTTTATTGCTGTGAAAGTGTGTAGGTCTTATTGCTTAGGGTTGCAAAAGTTGGCGGAATGAATTGCATACATCATATATTTATACTGACTTTCTAAACCGCCTAGCCGAAAATCTCGGACGAGATTTTCAGAATATTTCCTTATCGCCTCGTGCGGCTGACCGCCTTTGCATCTCGCCTAGGGTTTTCCATGGGCTTCACCTCTCAAGGCTTCAGTTCGGCCCATCCATGTTTCTTTACGGCTCGGCCCATATTTCCTTTGTTACGGCTCGGCCCACGGCTCGGCCTGCTTGATATGATCCGCTCCACCTCACCGCGGCTCGGCCCAGGTATGTAAAACAGGGGCTCGGTCCATTTTCTGTAATACGGCTCGGCCCATCTCTCCTTCTTCTCGGCTCTCCTACTTGGTGATCGCGGCTCTCCCGCTTGTCTTGGTGGAAACGGCTCTCCTTCTTGCCTTGGTGAGGACGGCTCTCCCATTTGATGGCCACAGCTCTCCCACTTTCTATACTTAGTTATTTTGGGATGGTTTTATCTGTGCGGGGTGAAAACCGATCCCAACAGTTAGCCTCCCAGCTCGTCAATCTCGGAGTCGAGAATGACGAGGTACCTTACTCCTGACCACAAGATAAACCATCGAGCCGAGCTGTTACGACGTAAGCCCGGATAAGGCGTTTTGGGAGTGCAAATGCCGAGGTGTTTCCAAGGAGTGCCGAGGATGCCGAGGCGAATCAGAGACGAAGCGATTTTGTTTTTAGCAACGATGAGCCGTGGCGAAGCGATCTGATGGTGGTTATGCCGAGCCGACGAGGCGTTTCAAGAGCAAGAGTTAATGCAGAGCCGTTTCGTTAACGACGAGGCGTCAAAAGAGCAAGGGTTAATGCCGAGCCGTTTAACGATGAGGCGTTTTGAGAGATAGATAATGTCGAGCCGTTTCGTTTAAGGACATGGCGATTCGAGAGAGATAGATAATGCCGAGCCGTTTCGTTTAACGACGGGGCGATTCAAGAGAGATAGATAATGCCGAGCCGTTTCGTTTAACGACGAGGCGTTAAAGGAGAGATGGGTAATGCCGAGTCCTTTCGTTTTACGACGAGGCGATTCAAGAGAGATAGATAATGCCGAGCCGTTTCGTTTAACGACGAGGCGATTCAAGAGAGAAAGAGTCATTACCAAGCCGTTTCATTCTGGGTACCCTGACTGTTGGTCTTCCGAGAGGATATTCCTGATCTTTCGGCGCGTGCCGACGACGCAGCCCGGTATAACCAATTCACCGCGGATCCCACGCGCTGTTGGGCGGTTTCCCGAGGTTCACGCGGAATTCACGCGCTTCGTTTTTCTATAAATAGGTGAGCTCCTTCACTCTTCCTCATTATTTCCCGACTCACTCGTTTTCACTAAAGGTAGCTCTCCCTTCTCTCTTCTTTCTCTCTCTAGTTTATTTATTTTCCGGCTAGGGTTTCCGAGGTCTCCGCCGTTCCAGATCTTTTTCCGGCAGAGGCTCGCCGAGTCGCGCTGTAATTCTTGTAAAAGTCATAAATTATGTCGAGCCGTTCCGACGATTCGTTGGATCCGCTCTTTCACTATGAACCAAGCCGTATAGACGCCGAGGCGAGAGGCACGGTGGAATCCTCCGAGGCGTCTGCTTCGCCGAGCCCCTCCAATCACTCATCTGACGAAGCGTCAAACCATGAAAACCCATCAGATGTCGGCTCTCCGGATGGCGAGCCGTCGGTTTCGATGAGCCATCCCCAGGATCCCGTTCTTAACGAGGACATTAACCGCGCCGCGCCCAAGGCCGAGGTGGAGGCATTTCCCTTTGATCTTTTCGAGGCGAAGCTTGAATTGGAACGCCTCATGGCGTCCCGGGGCGCTTCCACATCTGGGCGAGGGCTGAGAGTTAAGAGACAAAAACCCGACCCGCCTGGATCTACACTCTGCTCCCTTGAGTCGCTCGAGGCGTTGAGGCATCGCTTCGGAATATCCGAGGCGGTGGAGTTCGTCGTTCCAGAGAAGAGCGACCGAGCCGACAACCCTCTAGAGAATCATTTCACTCTGTACGAGGTGTTCTTCGAGCTTTGCTTCCTCTGGTTTCCGATCCCCGGAGTGATCCTCGAATATCTTTGGAAACACGGGATCTCGATTGGGCAGATTATGCCGAGGGGATTACGGCATATGATTGGCATTTTAGTACGAAGCTTCGAATGCGGTCTTGACATCGAGCTAAATCACCTGCTGAACTTGCTGGAAATCAGGAAAGCTCCAAAAGGAAATAGGTTCTATATTTCCAACAAGGCGAAGCGACGGATCATTGGTGGTTTCCCCAGCAAGGATCAGTTTTGGACTGAACGCTTCTTCTACGTCTTGGTGAACGAGGCGTCGGTCGGCGAAGATTACGTTCACCGAACCAAGACAACTTGGGGACCACTTGGTAGCCGACCCGAAGCTTTGCCTTGGCTCGGAGATTCAGTTGATATTCTCTTCCTTTTCTGAGAGATTTTTTTTTGCTTTGTTTTGCAGTTCGGTGCTATCTTCCCCCGATTCCCGACGACCTTTTTACTGTTCAAGACTCTCTTTCGGCGCGGAAGGTTAATTGGAGAAAGAACTTCTCCCTCGAAAGAGTAGAGAAATCGCGAGCCATCCTTGCCGGAGTCCCTGTTAGCTCTTCATCCTCCAGTTCTTCAAGGGATACTCGAGAGAAGATGGTGATAATCGCTCTTAGGGAGAGGAAGAGGCGTGAGGCGGAAGAGGCCGCGAGACGAGCTGCCGAGGCGGCTCAGGCGCAGACCGAGGCGGTCCTGGCGCATACCGAGGCCATTCCTCAACCCGAACCCCCGAGCCGGGAAGGAGATGAAACGACCCGAGCCGCAGAAGACTGCACAGCCGAAGTGGTCGAGAGAAATGCGGCGCCCGAGGTGGAACCGGGTGAAATTGTTTTCGAGGCGTCCGGGGGCGATTCGGCGGTTCGGAGCAAAGAGCCTTCGAGCTCTGCTATTCTAGCCCTCCCGAAGTCGACAAGGCCCCCGACTTCCGCCGTTCAGAAACATGACCCGAGCCGAAAACGTTCGGCTGCTGATAAAGGGCAGGGGGTAGCTGTTCAGAGGGACGAGCCGTCCAAGAAGAGGCGGAAGCCGACGCTCGGGGACTCCGCCGCGCGCAAGTTGGTCGTCGACGACCCTGATGCCTCCGCCATCATGTTTTCGCGTGTAAATAACGCGAACACGCGTCTTCCTCCTCCAGAGAAGTTGAGGAGGCCGAGGTCTTACGGCGCAATGGCGCAGCGCGGGACCAAGGTACGTTCCATTTTTGCTTTCCTTTGTTTTCGTGAATTTTTGCTAAGTGTCTAACGCGAGTTTGTTCTCTGCAGTTTGTCGCAGCCATTAACGACCTAATGGCCGAGTATGAGGCGGACCTGTCTAAGGTCGAACGTCGTTTGGCCGAGGCCAGAACTGAGTCCGCAGCGTCAAAGACGAAGCTAGAAGAGGCTCAGACCGAAGCCGCGGCGGCAAAGGGGAAACTGGACGAGGCGATGACCAGGGTGTCCAGGTTGGAAGAGGAGAAGATCGTTCTTCGCGCCAACGTTGATAAGGTCTCCACCTCGGTCATTCGCCTCGAGGAGGCGAGAAGAGCCAAGAGCGCCGAGGAGGCGTTGCTGGAGAGGCGTATCGAAGCCAAGGACTCCTTATTCGATGCCAAGGTCAAGAGGGCGAAAAAGGAGGCGAGGCGAGAGCTTACGGCAAAGTTTCAGGAGCGCCTCGCCAAGGTGGAAGAGGGTTTGGTCAGGCTTGAGAAAGCCAAAAATGATGAGAACGATCTGGGACAGATCAAGGGCAATCTTGCGATGATTGCCGACCTGAAGAAGTCGGACGCCCCAACGCTTGACGACAAGGAGGCGAAGCTGAAAAGCTGGGAAAGTGAGTATGCCAACGACGAGGCATACGAGCGTATTGCTTCCGAGATTCGGGGCGAGCTGTATTACTCTCCCGTATTGCCGGATTCGGTCGACACCACCCTCGGCAACAAGCCGCTCGAAGAGACAGCGGCCAACTTAGGCGTGGAATATCCGAACGGATCAAACGCGGGCACGCCAGTTCTCTCGAACCTCCTCGCCGAACGTGAGACGCAGTCTGCGGCCTGATACCCTCTGCTTTTCCCTGTTTCGTCTTTCATGCTTTTGTACTTAGGTTTTTTCGTACGTTTTTGAACTCTTTTTGTAACCGATGCCTGGACGGCTTTATCCACCCGACATTCATTTTTGCTTATGGAAATATTTTCTCCTTTAGCTGTTTTTCGTTTGGATTCACTTGTTTTCAATGACTTGTGCAAACATCTGCGAAAACCGCTGGCTTAGGGAAAGTTTTCGAGAATGATTTTGATTGTTCCCTTAACCGAATTCTTCGAAATCGATAGAAGGATGGGCTAAGGGTTGAGTTGTTTAAGGGTCTCGTTCGTATTCTTAATCCCGAGCTGGGAGTTAGTTTTGTGGAACATCCTTCAGGTGATGCTGGAAAGATTTTAAGTGATAATGTCGCAGCGATTTTTCGTAGCAACACCGAGCCATTTTTAACGACGAGGCGTTTTACTCTTTGCATGGTGCCGAGTGTGTGAACGACGAGGCGTTTTACTCTTTGCATGGTGCCGAGCCGTGTAAACGACAAGGCGTTTTACTCTTTGCATGGTGCCGAGCCGTGTAAACGACGAGGCGTTTTACTCTTTGCATGGTGCCGAGCCGTGTAAACGACGAGGCGTTTTTTCTTTGCGTGATGCCGAGCCGTGTAAACGACGAGGCGTTTTCGTTTTTGTTAGCCAAGGACGATGTGTTATCGATCCTGACCATAATGGACCGGTGTTTCCGAGAGGATGAGTATGCTTATCCGGGTTTTGAGGGTTTGCTTCGGTTTCAGAGAAAGCGATGTAGTCTCGTCTTATATTCTCGTGTGCGATAGTAAACCGTGGCGACCTGATACGTTTTTGGTCTGATATTTGTATAGCGCGCTTAATTTTTATCCGTAGAGGATGTAACTTGCACCCTCGTCCTAGGAAAGGTGGTAAAAGTCCGTTTAGAGAATTTTGTATTTGTTGCCCCGTTGTGGCCAGCAACGAGGCGAGGCGTTCGGAGGCTTAGTTTGTCGGACTGAAACTGAGGACCGATTAAGGTCCGAGGTAACCAGGTCATGATATTATGCCGAAGTGGTATTTAGTCGCCGAAGTGATGGGTGAAAGAAATTAAAAATCCGAACTCGTTAAAATAAGTTGTTAATTAAAAAGAATGAGAATCTAACCGAAGCGATAATGAACGAACTAGAAATCAGAGGTAGTCGTGAAATGACTAGATGAATAAAAATGAACTGAGGGTGTGCCGAAGTGGCAATGTTCCTAAGTGAGCAAGTTAAAATTGTAGGGTTAAAGGAGGTATGTGTATACGTACCCACTCCCTCCCCCCTTTTTAGGAGGGGGGACAGCTGAACCCGTCCGAAGACGGGCTGCCTACGTATCCTTTGCAGGGATCAAGCCGTCCCGTAGTTCATGCTGGTCATGCTGTATCCTTAGTGATAGTATTTCTTCAGATGCATTGCGTTCCATGATCTTGGGATCGCCTCGTCAGCTAGTGTCGCGAGTTCGTAGACTCCTGGACGAACCACTTTTGTGATCTTGTAAGGACCTTCCCAATTTGCTCCGAGCTTTCCTGCGTTCTTCTCGGCAGTGTTTTGGAAGACCTTTCGGAGGACGAGCTCCCCTACTTTGAATCTTCGGCTACGAATGTTTTTGTTGTAGTATCGCGCTGTTGCTTGCTGATAGTTCTGAATTTGAATTAAAGCTTGGTCGCGCTTTTCGTTGATTAGGTCGAGCTCATCTAGCATCATTAAGTGGTTTGAACCCTCCTGTCCTGGCAGAAGTCTTCGTCGAATACCTGGGAAATCCACCTCGGGGGGAATTACGCATTCCGATCCGTAGACCAAAGCGAATGAAGTTTCCCCGGTGGCTCGGCGCGGAGTTGTCCGATGAGACCAAAGGACTCCTTCGAGTTCGTCTGCCCATCGTCCCTTCTTGGCGTCGAGCCTCTTTTTCAGACCGTCGAGGATCGTTTTGTTGGCTGCTTCGGCTTGTCCGTTCCCTTGAGGGTATCTTGGTGTAGATTTGCTGAGCCGGATTTTCTACTTCTCGCAGAAGGCTTCAAAGCGTGTTGAGATGACCTGGGATCCGTTGTCCGTGACTATTTCGTAGGGGACCCCGTGTCGGCAGATTATATTTTTCCAGACGAAGTGTTCGACCTGAACATCTTTTATGCTTGCGTAAGAATCGGCCTCGACCCACTTGGAGAAGTAATCCGTGAGGACGAGCAGAAAACGCTTCTGCTTCGAGCGATTTAGAGGTCCGACGATGTCCATCGACCATCTCATGAACGGATAAGGCGATGAAATCGATGAGAGCAGCTCGGTAGGTTGATGAATCGTTGGGGCGTGCCGCTGACACTTCTCGCACTTAGCCGTAAATTTCTCGCAGTCCTTGATCATCGTGGGCCAGAAGTAGCCGTGCCGTTTTATCTTGATAGCGAGAGACCTTCCCCTGGAGTGGTTCCCGCACGCGCCGCTGTGCACCTCGTGCATGATCTTTCTTGCCTCTGGTCCTTCGACGCATGTCATGAGAGGCCCTGAGAATCTCCATTTAAACACTTCGCCATCGACGAGGACGTAACGTGCGGCCTGAGCTTTTAGTTTGCGGGCTTCTCATTTATCAGTTGGCACCTCTCCATCGGCGATGTACATTCGGATAGCTCTGAGCAATTCTTTGTCGCAGCCGTATTCCGGCTCGGTTGGTGAAGTGTCTTCGTCCATAGGAATGGCTTCGTCGTCTTCTGGTTCTTGTCCGGGAGGATTTATCAGCCGAACTTCTTCCACCTCTTCGATGCTAGGGCGTTCGATGAATTCAACTGGGATCGTTCGTCGGACGTCTGGGTCCGAGGTCGAAGCGAGTGCTGCCAAGGCATCTGCCGAGGTGTTTTCTCCTCGGGGAATGCGCGTGAGTTCGAATTCATCAAACTTTTGCACCAACTCTCGGAACACTTTGAGGTAAGCTCCCATACGTCCATCCTTCGCCTCGTATTCCCCGTTGAACTGACATGCTACGAGCTGTGAGTCGCAAAAGGTCCTTATCATTCGAACTCCGATTCCCTGTGCTAGCCATATGCCGGCGATCAGTGCTTCGTATTCCGCTTCGTTGTTCGAGGCGTGGAAGTTCAGGCGAAAAGACTGCTCCAATATTTCTCCGGTGAGAGAGGTGAGGCGGATTCCTATTCCCGAGCCATGCTTGGACGACGAGCCGTCGACGTGCAGCGCCCACACTTCATCTAGAGTCGGCTCGTTTATTGCTTCGGCAGGAAGTTCAATGAGGAAATCTGCGAGCACTTGTGATTTTGCAGACGACCTGTTCCGATACTCGATGTCGTATTCGCTTAGTTCTATCGCCCACTTGGCGAGCCGACCGGATTGGCTAGGGCTGTGTAGGATCGAGCGTAGAGGAAGCGTAGCGAGCACAACGATCGAATGTGATTGAAAGTACGGGCGCAGTTTGTGAGCCGAGACTACGACGGCTAGGGCGACCTTTTCGATCTGGGGGTAGCGAGTTTCGGCGTCGGTCAATGTCTGGCTGATGTAGAAAATGGGCTTTTGCTCGGATCGCTCTTCTCTGATGAGCACTCCGCTTACAGCTGTGGGAGATACTGCGATGTAGAGGAAGAGCGGCTCTCCTTCGACTGGTTTTGCTAAGATTGGTGGGCTCGCTAGATAATTTTTCAACTCCTGGAAAGCTGCTTCGCATCGCTCGTCCCATTCAAATTTCTTGTTTCCTCGGAGTGTGTCGTAGAAGGGCAGGCACTTGTCCATGGAGCGGGAAATGAACCTGTTTAGCGCGGCGACTCTTCCTGTGAGCCTTTGCACTTCGTGCTTCGTCTTTGGAGAGGGCATCTCAATCAATGCCTTGATTTGCTTGGGGTTTGCTTCTATGCCTCGGTGAGTTACCAAATAGCCGAGGAATTCTCCTGAAGTGACGGCAAATCTGCACTTCGCCGGGTTTAATTTCATGTTGTGCTTGTTCAGTTGCTCGAAGCATTAGCGTAGATGTGCGACGTGGTCTTCCTCCTTGAGTGATTTGACTAACATGTCGTCGATGTATACCTCCATGGTTTTTCTGAGCTGAGCCGCGAACATTTTGTTGACGAGCCGTTGATACGTTGCTCCTGCGTTCTTGAGTCCGAACGGCATGACTTTGTAGCAGTATATCCCGCGATCAGTTATGAATGCCGTTTTTTCCCGATCATCAGGATGCATCAGGATCTGATTGTAGCCGGAGAACGCGTCCATAAATGTTAACAGTCTATTCCCTGCAGTGGCTTCGACGAGCCGGTCGATGTGTGGCAGGGGAAAGCTGTCTTTTGGGCACGCCTTGTTGAGGTCGGTGAAATCCACACAGACCCGCCACTTGCCGTTCTTCTTCTTTACAACCACCGGATTTGCGATCCAGTCCGGATATTTGACCTCGGCGATTGATCCTACCTTGAGTAATCTCTCGACTTCGTCGTTGACTGCTTTAGCTCGTTCTGGACCAAGCTTTCTTCTTTTCTACTTGATTGGTTTAAAGGTCGGATCTACATTCAGCTCGTGACAGGTTACATCGATGCTGATGCCTGGCATATCTTCCGTCGTCCAGGCAAAGGTATCGATGTTTTCCTTGAGGAGGGAAAGGAGCTTGCTTCTCAGGGGCTCTCCTTGTTGTGTTCCAATTTCGACGCACCGTTCCGGGTGCGCCTCGTCTATGCACTCCGAGTCCACTGCATCACATATCGGCTCGGTGCGTGTTTCGCGGCTCTCCGCGATCTGTAATTGCTATAAGAGTTTTGAGAGCTCGTTCGCGGGCTCTCTGTCTGTCTTCATCTTTTTGCGGTTTATGTCAGCTCGTGCGTCGGTGACGGGGTTCCTTAGTTTGTGCTCGGCTAGGCAGCACATTCGCCACTCCTTCTGATTCCTCCAGATCGTTTTGACGCCCGATGGAGTTGGGAATTTGAGGCAGAGATGGTAAGTGGAGGGCACTGCCCGCATCCCGTTGATCCAGGGAGTTCCCATGATCACATTGTAGATTGCT